AAACCGATGGCCAAACAAAACACCCACCATCATAAGCAGCAACAACTGCTTCTGCAAATGGCCAATGAGCAGCAGCAGTTGATCCATGGGCTAGTGGCCCAGCAGCAACAACAGCAGCAAGAGTTCGTCCAGCAGGTGGTCATGATATTATGGCCACCTGCTCCCACAGAGCCAGCAAACCCTGCCCTAGCTGCAACTGCCACCCATGAACAGCATGTGTAAGAGGCTTACGGGGGCTAAGTCTCCCCAGAAAAGGCTGGCCATGCAGAAGGGCAAATGCTGCAGTTGTGGCATGGGTCACCTTCCTTTGGAGGCGTGCTGGGTCACCTTTGGGGTCCTGGAAGTGAAGCTCCCTAGAAGCGAGGGAGCCACTGGCACCTGGACCAAGGTTCCGCCTTTGCTCTGCCTCGTTCCCTGAGACCCCCACCCACCACTCACTCCTCTCTGCTGCAGAGGGAAGCGCGTGGTGGGTGGGCAGGTGCACCCTTAGAGGAAGAGGTGTGGGGAAGGAGTGAGCGGCAGGTCGGCAGGCCTTGGGGGAAGAGACAGGGAGGAGGAGTGAGAGGCAAGTGGGCAGGGGGCACCTTGGGGGAAGGGGCAGAGTGGGGGACGGGTCTTGGAGAGGTGGGGCCCCAGCCCGGGTACCAATGGACCCCTCCACTTCTAGGGAGCTTCCAGCACTCGTGTGTAAGCCTCCCCAAACAGAAGACTCATGCACCACCCATGCTGCCACCCCATCAGACTTACCAAAACAAGATGCGGCCCAGTGATGATCCTGAGGCCTTCCTTGAAACTTTAAGCAGGTGGCTGCAGTAGACCTCTGGCCCCAAGCCCAATACATTGTGGTACTGACACCATACTTAATCGGAGTAATAGGGGAGATCCCCAATCCTGGTGAGGGGACATCCCATGCATCTGAGCCAACCTAGCAAGACAAGGCCCCATCGAAGCATAATGAAGAGCCCCCCTGCATTACCTGAGTCGGAGATTCTGAATCAGTTCTCCAACTTTGTAGAGGAACATATGCTGAACTGAGCATAAACCCAGGTGGTGGTAGTAAATAGGGAGACCTCTATCATATCTCCGCTTAGTCGTCTCTTTTCCAAGCTGAAAATCCCAATCTTATTAAGCTCTCCTCATACGGAAGCCGTTCCATACCCCTAATAATTTTTGTTGCCATTTTTTCAACCTTTTCCAACTCCAATATATCTTTTTTGAGAAGGGGCGACCAGATCTGCATGCAGTATTCAAGATGTGGCATACAGTAGATTTACATAGAGGCAATATAATATCTTCTATCTTATTAGCTATCCCTTTCCTAATGGTTCCCAACATTCTGTTAGTTTTTTTGACCATCACTGCACAATAAGTGAATGTTTTCAGAGAACTATCCACAATGACTCCAAGATCTTTCTTGAGTGGTAACAGCTAATTTAAACCATCATTTTATATGTATAGCTGGGATTATGTTTTCTAACGTGCATTACTTTGCATTTATCAACATTGAATTTCATCTGCCATTTTGTTGCTTAGTCACCCAGTTTTGTGAGATCCTTTTCTAGCTCTTCACAGTCTGCTTTGGACTTAACTGTCTTGAGTAGTCTTGTATCATCTGCAAATTTTGCCACCTCTTTTCCCAGATAATTTATGAATATGCTGAACAGTTATGGTCCCAGTATAGACCCCCTGGGGACACCACTATTTACTTCTCTTCATTCTGAAAACTGACCATTTATTCCTACCCTTTGTTTCCTATCCTTTAACCAGTTACTGATCCATGAAAGGACCTTTCCTTTTACCCCATGACAGCTTTCTTTGCTTAAGAGCCTTTGGTGAGGGATCTTGTCAAAGCCTTTCTGAAAATCTAAGTACACTCTGTCCACTGGATCATCCTTGTCCACATGTTTGCCTACCCACTCAAAAGAACTCTAGTAGATTGGTGAGGCATGGTTTCCCTTTACAAAAACCATGTTAACTCTTCCCCAACAAATCATTTTCATCTATGTGTCTGATAATTCTGTTCTTTACTATAGTTTCAACCAGTTTGCCTGGTACTGAAATTAGGCTTACCAGCTTGTAATTGCTGGGATTGCCTGTGGAGACCTTTTCAAAAATTGGCATCACATTAGCTATTCTCCAATCATCTGGTACAGAAGCTGATTTAAATGGTAGGTTACAAACTACAGTTAGTAGTTCTGCAATTTCGACATTTGAGTTCCTTCAGAACTCTTGGGTGAAGACCATCTGGTCCAGGTGACTTATTACTGTTTAATTTATCAATTTGTTCCAAAACCTCCTCTAATGACACCTCAATCTGGGACAGTTCCTCAGATTTGTCACCTAAAAAGAATGGCTCAGGTTTGGAACTCTCCCTCACCTCTTCAGCCCTGAAGACTGATGCAAATAATTAATTTAGTTTCTCCGCAATTACCTTATCTTCCTTGACTGCTTCTTTAGCATCTCAATAGTTGTTTAGCAGGCTTCCTGCTTCTGATGTACTTAATTTTGCTGTTACTTTTTGAGTCTTTGGCTAGCTGTTCTTCAAATTCTTTTTTGGCCTTCGTAATTATATTTTTACATTTCACTTGCCAGAGTTTATGCTCCTTTCCATTTCCCTTGCTAGGATTTAACTTCCACTTTTTAAAGGATGCCTTTTTGCCTTTCATTTCTTCTTTTACTTTGTTGTTTAGCCACAGTGGCACTTCTTTGGTTCTTTTACTATGTTTCTTAATTTGGGGTATACATTTAAATGGAGCCTCTATTATGGTGTCTTTAAAAAGTTTCCATGCAGCTTGCAGGGATTTCACCTTTGACACTGTACCTTTTAATTTCAGTTTAATTAACTTCCTCATTTTTGAGTAGTTTCCCTTTCTGAAGTTTAAATTCTACCATAGTGGGCTGCTTTGGTGTCCCCCTCCCCCACCCGGGATATTAAATTTTATGTTATGATCACTATTACCACACGGTTCAGCTATATTCACCTCATGGCCCAGATCTTCTGCTCCACTTAGGACTAAATCAAGAATTGCCTCTCCTCTTGTGTGTTCCAGAATTAGCTGCTCCAAGAAGTAGTCATTTAAGGTGTCAAGAAACTTTATCTCTGCATCATGTCCTGAGCCAACATGTACCCAGTCAGTATGGGGGTAGTTGAAAGCCCCCATTATTATTGAGTTTTTTATTTTTATAGCCTCTCTAATGTCCCTGAGCATTTCACAGTCACAATCACCATCCTGGTCTGGTGGCTGGTAGTATATCCCCAGTGCTAGATTCTTATTATTCAAGCATGGACTTACTATCCTTAGAGATTCTATGATATGGTTTGGTTCATTTCAGATTTTTACTTCATTTGACTCTGTGCTTTCTTTCACATATAGTGCCACTCCCCCAACCCCAAGTACTTTGGAACAATTTACCAAGGGTTGTGCTGGATTCTCTGTCACTGAACATTTTAAAATCGAGAGTGGATGTTTTTCTAAAACATATGCCCCAGTTCATTTAGGAATTTAGGGAAGTCCTACATGTTATATAGGAAATCAGACTAGATGATCACAGTGGTCCTGTTTGGCCTTATAATCTATGAACCTGTTAATTTTATGCAAATGATCCATAAAAAGCAGACAAATATAGTCCTTTTACAGCAGCTGAACTGCATGACAAATTTTGCACCCCCATAAAGCACAGGGGCTGGGGCTGAATGTAACAGAACATAAATTAAACACAAACCCAGAGAAGATGAATGTTGGCACTAAATCTACCATTTTTAAAGGACAGAAAGAAGCCTGGGGCTTGGAACATCTCTTATGTTGATGGTTTTATAGGCTTGCTTGTTTGTTTGACAATACATTTTGCCTACCAGATGCAACTTATTTTGGCTTTGCTTAAAGGGGTCACAAAGGCTGTTGTGTGACGTTATATGGATTTGCTGTTGGCAAATATTGACAGATGGGCCAGGTGACACTCGCTATGGTGAAAACTAATCCTTGTTTTACAGAGCAGTATTTCATTTTAATCATTCACATAGACATTAACCTTTGAGGAGGATTTCAGACACGTTTTCTTGCATACAAACTAGCTAAGAGTAATGAAGGACAATGAAGTAACTCCCAATCCATATTAGCCTGTAAATGGAACAGTGAGAAGGAGGGAAAAAATGAAACCAAAACAAAAATAACCAAAACTTTTATAAATAAGATTTTCCATCCATTTATATCGGAGAGAGATTACAATGATCTTATCTTTAGCATTGTGCTTCAAATTGTGGAGCCAAATGCATCCACCACCTGGGATGTTCTTGGCCCATAATTTTTTCATATGCAATGGTCACCATCAAAATGTCTGCAATAGCTATTATTCAAGACACACCCAAGAGATCTGCTTTTCCTTCTATTAAGATTTGTTCTATTATTTATTGTTCTACTAACTGAGATCTGTTAGCAAAATTATTACTTTTTAATGATGGTCATTGCAGCTGCTTCTCCACATCCTACGATAGAACAGATTCACCTGTGCAGCCTGAGTGGAGGATGCTATTATGGACACCATACTCCTTATGGTTGCCTTCCCCCCACCCAATTTATATCATATGGTGAGCACATGGTAGCTTTAGCCTTGATTCCTGGGAGCTCATTGGGTCCTAAATAGTCAAAATATTCTTTCCTGGGACATTTTTATGATTTCTCTTAACGTTAATAAGAACAGTCCTGCTTTGTATTTATAGCATGTTTAGAGCAAGGCTGAACCTTGGTGTCTGATGTGGTGCCCAACATGATTTGGTCCCGCCTACACTTGCTGTCAAACTGTTCTCAGTATTAGCAACCATAGGACGTACCAAAGATCAGTTCTAAAATCTGCCATGTGAATCTAGGAACAGCACTTTGACCCTAATTATTTTAGGCTGGTTTACATACTAGTTATATTAATACGATTCAGCTTGGATGCATTTGTTTTCCCATCATCTGGATAAAGAACAAAAATCACTAACGTATGTTTGTTTGTTACAGCATTTTGTCCTTCCTTCAGAAAAAACCATGAGCTGGGGATTCCTGCGAGACATCCTAAGTGGAGTGAATAAATATTCAACAGGAATTGGCAGGATCTGGTTGGCTATTGTGTTTATATTCCGCTTGCTTGTCTATGTTGTGGCAGCAGAAAATGTCTGGAAGAATGAACTGAAGGAATTCGAGTGCAACATCAGGCAACCGGGTTGTGAAAATGTCTGCTTCGACCACTTCTTCCCTATTTCCCAGATCAGGCTTTGGGCCTTGCAACTGATCATGGTCTCCACCCCTTCTCTTTTGGTTGTTCTCCATGTTGCCTATCGAGAGAGCAGGGAAAAGCGACACAAAAAGAAACTTTACAAGAGCCCAGGAAGCATGAATGGTGGACTGTTGTGCACTTATCTCATCAGCCTCATTTTCAAAACAGGATTTGAAATTGGTTTCCTAGTTTTGTTTTACAAGTTGTACGGTGGATTCAATGTGCCACGCCTTGTGAAATGTGACATGAGGCCATGTCCTAATACAGTAGATTGCTATATCTCCAAGCCCACAGAGAAGAAAGTCTTCCTCTATTTTGTGGTGGTGACTTCGTGCTTGTGCATTGTATTAAATGTAAGTGAACTGAGCTATCTGATTTTCAAATACAGCATAAAATGTTGCCTTGAGATATATGACAAGAAAGTTCAGACCATGAAAAGTGAGTGCCAGAAGCTGAAATACGTTGAGCCCGATGGAATAGCAAGTACAGCTCTGTTCCACAGCAATGCTTCACCAGTGCTCGTCCATATGCCAGATAAACCTGAAAGTAACTTACCTACTGATTTGAGAGAAGGATAAAAATGATATTGCATGATGTTAAATAAACTGTCTGAATTATTCCTCTTACATGAGTTCAAAGAAATCCATCAGTGGATGAGGAAACTTTATTTTTATCTAGAAAATAGCATATTCTCTTTTTCTCTTAAAGAATTGTCAGATCCCTGCTATTGGGTTTTTGCCTTCCCATTCACCTGTATTACGTATTATTCAGGTTTGTTCAGGCTAAATCAAGGCAATGTAAAAGGTTGACATTTCCACTGAGACATAAATACTAAAGCTTCTGATAAGTCATCTTGAAAGGACAGTTGCTCAAACAATTGTATTTTGCATATTTTATGTGGCTGCTTTTGGTTCAGTTGTTTTTCCTTTCTTTTGAAGAGGATCTTTATGTCTATCTTAAAGACTCTATTCTAACCAGAGCCAGAGGAGTGAAAAGGGGATATAAAGCTGTATGGATTAGGTCACTCTGCCAATTCGAATCCAGGCCAGGACAACAGGAGTGACTGAAAAGGGTTGGCAACTTATGGCTGCTAACTGTCCTATATGACAGGTTTCAGAGTGGTAGCCATTAGTCTGTAGCAGCAAAAAAAAAAAAACAAAAAAAAAACCGAGTACTTGTGGCACCTTGGAGACTAACACGTCTTTGGGCATAAGCTTTTGTGGGCTAAAACCCATACATTGGATGCATGCAGTGGAAAATACAATAGGAAGACACACACACACACACAGAGAACATGAAAAAAAAAAATATCTTCCTACTGTATTTCCCACCCGATGCATGCAGTGAAGTGGGTTTTAGCCCACAAAAGCTTATGCCCAAAGAAATTTGTTAGTCTCTAAGTGCCACAAGTACTCCTTGTTTTTTTTGTCCTGTGTGAATGATGGGCTGAGCCTAGGTCTGTTTATATACTAATTGTACTATTTTACAACAACAACAACTAAACACACCTGCTGGCAGACTGATACCAAGGACTGACCTAGGTAGCTGTCTATTTTAGCAACTTAAACCGCACTTATTGCTGTAGTAATTGAGCACCTCACCATGTTTAATGCATTTATGATTTATAATGTATTTATACCCTGTGAGGGTATTATTGCCATTTTTATAGGCAGCAGAAACAGACATAGGGATACTAAATGGCTTACCCAAGATCACACAGGAGCCTGCAGCACAGTATTGATCCCAGGCTTCCCGTGTCCCAGACTATCTCCGTAACCACTGGACCTTCCTTCCTCTCTACAGCTCTAGAAATTGAATAACTTTGTCATCTATCAAAGTCCTGCTTCTCAGGTTTGGGTTGAGGCACACTAGCTGGGCACCAGGGGCGGTGGTGAGAGGGTTTTGATCTCTGCGACTGCCTGGAGTCCGGCCCCTTTTGCTAACAGTAAATTCAGTCCCATTAAGAACCTGATCCTTGTGTAGAATTCTCACAGACGCCAATGGACGTTCTGAGCCCAGAGAGCTTAGAGGACTGGGCCTCAATATTTTAAAAGGTATTTTAGTTTCAAGTGGAAGCAAAGTCAGGAAGAATGTTCATAAATGAAAACTCCAAGTTCTTTTTCAAAATTTCAGAATGTGCTTCAGAATTATGGTCTTTTAAAATTAAGATTATATAGTTAAACTAGAGGGGAGATTATTATTGCACGAAGCCTATTATTTGCCTGCTAACAGGTAGAAAGCGAGAGAAATTAGGACAGGAAGAAATTCATTCTCTATTGAAATCAATGGGAAAAGATGACAATCAGTTTTTCCAACTTTAATTTCTATGGTAAGCATTTATGGTTTTGCCTAGGTTCAACTGTTCCAATTTCTGATTTATTTCAATCGTCATTGAATTCAAGAGATTTAACACAGTATATATACACTTTACTGCAGTAAGATAACTACTCCTGATTTACTAAGCCTTCCTTGCTATAACAGATTAAAATGTAAATTATTCTAAGCAATATTCGACGGTAGATATCAAACTGCATGTTTTAAGAAGTGGATGCATGTGTCCATCCATCTGTCCAACCTGCTAGGGATTAGAACTGGTTGAAATTGTTTGAAAAATTTTCCCACTGAAAAATGTATTTGCGCTGAAAAAGAAATTTTCCATGGGAAAATGTGGATTTTAACAAAAGTTTCAGCTGGAAAATTTATAGTAAAAATATTTGTTTTGAATTGGCTTTTGAAATAAACATTGATTTCAATGTAAAATGTTTGTGTTTTCCAGCTTGGGATCCCCCAAGCATTCCCATGTTAAGGCACTTACATTAGGAAAACCATTCATGACAACTCTATTCTCTTCTACAAAGGAAAAGACTGTTCCCTAAAAAAGGAAGGTAGCCTCTGGCGATACTCTGTAAAAGAGAATATAGTGGACCTTGCCTGTGTTATCACTGGCTAACACAGACTATGGTTTATGTCCCTCCGATTAAAAAAAAATATCCGGGGGGGGGGAAAAAAAAAGAGTAAATGTTAGCTGATCATTTAAATAACCTTTTCTGCAGGACAGCAGCTAGTTTAAGGAACAACTAATTAAAGCCTTACTTTTTTGACAGACATTCAAGCCTATTGGTATAAAAGCAAATTGTGTTATTTCCATGATAGTGCTAGCTTTGCTAAAAATCAATGTACATAATAAACTAAGATACTATCATGTTTTTGAAGCTTGTGTGCGCATTCTTATTGTGTGTTGCTAAAAGGAAGCCTCTTAAAATATATGAAAGATGTATTTCTGTTGCTTTCCTGTTTACAAGGGCAGCAGAATTTAACTGAATTTTAGATGTCAGCCTGCCAGCTAGTGGCCAGTTTCAGATTTGCATCTTTAACAAAACTGCACCAAGAAGAAACGGAGTACTTGTGGCACCTTAGAGACTAACCAATTTATTTGAGCATGAGCTTTCGTGAGCTCATGTAAGGAGAGCGGTCACTTTGGATAAGCTATTACCAGCAGGAGAGTGGGGTGGAAGGAGGTATTTTTTCATGCTTTGTCTGTATATAATAAGATCTTCTACACTTTCCACAGTATGCATCCAATGAAGTGAGGTGTAGCTCACGAAAGCTTATGCTCAAATAAATTGGTTAGTCTCTAAGGTGCCACCAGTACTCCTTTTCTTTTTTGCGAATACAGACTAACACGGCTGTTATTCTTAAAACTGCACCATCGCATCTATGTTGGATAGTAAAGAGCGGACACTGCTTGACTGATCATACTTATCCGTTGTTGCCAGAATCATAGAATCATACAAATGTAAGGCTGAAAAGGACCTCGAGAGGTCAGCTAATCCATCCTCCCCCATGGTGAAGCAAGACTAAATGTATCTAGGCCATCCCTGACAGGTGTTTGTCTAATCTGTTCTTAAAAAACTCAGATTATGGGGATTTCCCAGCCTCCCTTGATAATCTGTTCCGGTACCTAACTACCCTTATAGTTAGAAAGTTTTTCCTAATAGCTAATCTAAATCTCTTTTACTGCAGATTAAGCCCATTACTTCTTGTCCTTCAGTGAACATGGAGAACAACTGAATTCTCCTCTTTCTAACAACCCTTAATTTATTTGAAGACTTATCGGCTCCCACCTCAGTCCTTTTTTTCCCTCAAGACTTAAACAGGCCAAGGTTCTTTAATATTTCCTGATAGGCCAGGTTTTCTAAACCTTTGATCATTTTTGTTGCTCTCCTCTGGACTTTCTTCAGTTTGTCCACATCTTTCTTAGAAAGTGTGGTGCCCCAAACTGAACACAATACTTCAGCTGAGGCCTCATCAGTGCCAGCAATTAGCTCCAGCGTCTTACATATGACACTCCTGTTAATACACCCTGGAATAATATTAGTCTTTTTCGCAACTGCATCATGTTGTTGGCTCACATTCAATTTGTGATCCACTATAACCTCCAGATCCTTTTCTGAAGTGCTACTGCCCAGCCAGTTAATCCCCATTTTGTTGTTCCTTTCTAAGTGCCGAACTTTGCATTTGTCTTTACTGAGTTTCATCTTGTTGAATTCAGATCAATTTTCTAATTTGTCAAGATCATTTTGATTTTCTAATCCTGTCCTCCAAAGAGCTAGAAACCCCTCCCAGCTTGGTGTCATCTGCAGATTTTGAAATCATACTCTCCACTCCATTATCCAGTCAGTGAAAATGTTGATAAGTACTGAAACCTAAACAGATCCCTGTGGGACCCAATTAGGTACGCCTCCCCCCAGGTCTGTCAGAAAACCATTGATAGCTACTCCTTGAGAATCATTTTCCAGCCAGTTGTGAACCCACTTTATAGTAGTTTCATCTATACTGTATTTTCCTATGTCTTACAAAATTTCAGCAAACATTTCCCATGCATTATCTATACAAACCGTAGTGTCCAAACTGCTTTCAAATGCATGAGTTGAGCTAGCTGTTGCACAAAAAGCACCAAGTACTGAATGAAACAATTTTGTATTCCATAACAAGTCTATTCATTGTTTACTTTTACCATTTGAATTGTCAGAATGATTAACTCTAGGAAAGGAAACTCAGTCCTATCTTGACATCTGTCCATTTTATGCACTACACATCCTCTTCCTTCAAGAAAAAAGGTAAATACTTTATTCTGGAGGTGAGTGGGATTTTCTAAAAGCATTACAATAATGAAAGAGGACTTTTAAACAGTGTTTACTTGAGAGTCAGAGAGAGAAGCACGTACTGAAACACCAACATAGACTTTCAATTAAATTTGTGCTTTCGCTACTTTTCATTGGGTAAAACATTCTAGGACAGGGCTCACACTTTGTTTGTGGGGTGTACTGCCTCGGAGAGGATATCTTGTGAATACCTCCCCACCCATTTGCAACATAACAGCCATGAGGCATCTATGTAATTTGCTTACATGGAATAGTAATATTAGGAAACATGTTCCTCTGTCTCTGCAACTCATCCAGACTGAAACAGGAGAGAAAACTAATAGGGCTGTTGATTAATTGCAGTTAACTCACGCAATTAACTAAAAAAAAATTAATTGCAATTAAAAAAATTACTATTTCTTTTGCTTATCATTTTTACAGTGCAAATATTTGTAATCAAAAATAACCCCCCACCAGTCACAATGCAGAAGGGAGGGTGGCAGTACCATACCATGCTAGTTTTACTTCTGTGCTTCCGCTGCTGGGGGTGGCACTGCCTTTAGAGCTAGGCGCTCAGCCAGCAGCTGCTGCTCTCTGGCTGCCCAGCTCTGAAGGCAGCTCTGCCACCAGCACCGGTGCAGAAGTAAGGGTGGCAAAACCACGATCCCCCAACACTAGCCTTGTGACACCCCCGGCCCCGGCTCTCCTTTGGGTCAGGCCCCCCCCCAGTTACACCACCAGGAAATTTCAGATTTAAATATCTGAAACCATGAAATTTATGATTTTTTAAATCCTATGACTGAAATTGATCAAAATGGACCATGAATTTGGTAGGGCCCTACTTGGGTCAATGTCTTAACAAATAAAGCACAAGATGGTGTATTAGCTATTGTCTGCTAGACCACCAAATTACAGTAGGAAACAGGACGACAAGCTCCTTAGCACACATCTACAATGTGTAAGACAAAAGCTGCGTGATCATGGAGGACTTCAATCTGAGTGACATATGCTGGAGGTCTCATGCTGCCAGTACTAAAACATCCCTGGAATTTCTAATTATAGAAAAGGAGGACTTGTGGCACCTTAGAGACGAACAAATTTATTTGAGCATAAACTCACTGCTGTAGCTCACGAAAGCTTATGCTCAAATAAATTTGTTCGTCTCTAAGGTGCCACAAGTACTCCTTTTCTTTTTGAGAATACAGACTAACACGGCTGCTACTCTGAAACCTAAACATTATAGATGACAACTTCTTAACTCAAAAAGTGTTGCATGGGGGAATTCTATATTATACCACATCGTGACAAATAAAGAACTAAAAAACTAATGGTAACTTAGGCACAAGTGATCATGACTTGAGCACATTTATAATATGCAAACAGAATAAAGTCCTGACCAGTGATTGATATACTTGGTACTTAAAAAAAAAAAAAAAAAAAAAAAGCAAATTTCACAATTGTACATGATCCTGGAGGGGGTACCTGGTAAGAGTTTTGTCTGTATGAAATGCCGTCTGATAGAGCTGATGGAGGAAAAGGTCCGAGGTTTGGAGATGCAGGTGGAAAGTCTGGTTGAGTTTAGGAAGGGGTTTGAGCAGATTATGGAGCAAAAACATGAGGTATTTGAAGGGAAAAGCTCAGACTTGCAGATGGAAGCAGGACTGGGGAATTCTGGGGGGAGACTGGGTGAGGAAAGTGGTCAGTGGAAGCATGTGACTAAAAGAACCAGGCAGAGGAAAAGACGGGCTAGTGAAGGAGAAAGAGCTCAAGAATAGGTTTGCAGAGTTGGAAAATGAAGAAGGGGCTCAGCAGGTAATCACTGAAAGTGGAAGGGCAAGGAAGAAGAGAAGAGCAGCTAGTCCTATAGGAAAAGGGGAAGAGTTAATGGAGACTACACCAAATATGAGCCCCAGGAGGATACAGGATGGGTTGAAGAGGATTACAAGGGAGAATAGGAATGGAAAGAACTTGCAGCCAGAGGGAACAGGGGATAGACTGGAGAATAGCACCGTCACCAGGAAAAGGCAGGTCTATGTGATCGGGGACTCTTTACTGAGAAGACTAGACAGGCCTGTAACCAGAGCTGATCCAGAGAATAGGAGGGTGTGCTGTCTTCCAGGTGCTAAGATACGGGATGTAGACCTGAGGTTGAAAAGGATTCTAAAGGGAGCAGGAAAGAATCCCCTAATTATCCTTCATGTGGGAACAAATGATACGGCTAGATTCTCGCTGGAAAGTATTAAGGGAGACTATGCTAGGCTGGGGAAGACGCTTAAGGAAATCAAGGCTCAGGTGATCTTTAGTGGGATTCTGCCTGTTCCTAGAGAAGGGCAACAAAGGTGTGACAAGATTATGACCATCAAAAGATGGCTTAGGCAGTGGTGCTATAAGGAGGGCTTTGGGATATATGGCCACTGGGAGGCATTCATGGACAGAGGACAGTTCTCTCGGGATGGACTTCATCCGAGTAGGGAAGGAAATAGACTTCTAGGATGGAGGCTGGCACAACTGATTAAGAGAGCTTTAAACTAGGAATTTGGGGGATATGGTTGGGAGATGTCCAGGTAATCTCCACACCGGATTTTAGCATTGAGAGGAAAGAAAACGAAGTAAGAGAGGATACAGCCGTGGGTAGGAGGAAGGGCAGTGTAGATACCAGTCTAATAGGTTGTACTGGCTGTAGAATGACCGTGCCTAATAGGGTACAGAATGTGAGTGAGGCCAAACAGCAAAAATTAAGATGTTTGTACACTAATGTGAGGAGCCTAGGTAACAAAATGGAGGAACTAGAGCTACTGGTGCAGGAAGTGAAACCAGATATTATAGGGATAACAGAAACATGGTGGAATAGTAG